ATATATGTATGTATATGGACGTCTAGGGGGAATGGGGGTGGGGGGACAGGACTCGACACAACAACCGGTTCGGAGGTTGAAGTTGGAGCGTTCAAGTCCAGACCCACGAGCCCGAACAACTCTTCCTTGATGCTCAGTTTTCAGACAAAGGACTGACCGAGGTTGCTGACTGTTAGACTGGGCCCAGGATGAAGGTGGAACAGCCCGAGGGGAGGGGGAGGGGTATGTGTGTGTGTGGGGGGGGGGGGGGGGGGGTGTGGGGGGGGGGGGGGTAGCATTGAGCTGCAGGGTAGTGATTCAACAACTTTTCAAAACTAAACAATATGTTGAAGCAGGACGTCCGTAAAAATCTATATTTAGGTGCTAAAATCAGGCGACTGAAGTAATTATTTAGTTGCACTAAATAAATAAATAGATGCCAGACTACAGAGCTTTGAATGGAATAGAGCAGACTGCAGCTGAGCGCCTCCACATTAGTGTTTTACGGCCGACTGTCTCTAAACATGAATATTTCATCTGCCATAAAACTTGAAGTCTCGTGGAACAACGCCTCGCGCCGTTTATACAGGCCGACCACTTAAAATCAAATTACCACAGCATCAAATCTAACTTATGGGCCGAGTTGTCATAAGGCAGCTTGAGCTCAGACTTCAAAAGACTCCACGGCGGAGAGGTGCAGTAAAAATTTATGGGAGGTGTAATTATATTGACCCTGCAAACACACGAGCGTAAATCTCCAGCCAAGGGCTATCTCCTCACTCCTGCAGCATGGGAGCCGCGCGCTACTCGAGACCCACGCGGCTCACAAAGGACGGCATGGGAGGCGGGGGGGGGGGGGGGGTCCATGCAGCTCTTACCGATGTTCACGTGGACTTTCTTCATCCATGGGTACACCACCGGGGGATCCTTGCGCGCGCTCCGCGGAGAAGACGCGCTCTGGCCGCAGGACAGAGGAGGTGGAGGAGGTGGAGGAGGCGGGCTCGGTGTGACCGTGTCGCAGCGGTGGCTCTGCTCCGACACGGTGGTAGGAAGGGCGACGTGATCCCGCGGGGACATCACCACCGAGGCAGGCTGAGCCGCTCGCTGGCACGGCATGTACGGCGGCTCGGCCCGGTGCGGGGACTGCGGGGGGTACAGAGAGTCCGGCTGGAAGGCGCTGGGCTCCTGCCTCTGGGAACTGTAATAGTCCGGGGAGTGACTGGGCAGATAGTCGCTCTGTGAATACTCCTCGCAGGGGGGGAACTTCGGGTCCACATAGTTGGAGTTGATCAAGTACGAGTTCATGGCCACAAATTTGACTCATATGCTCGAAAAATATCAAACTAAAATTCATATCCCATCCCTTTACGCCTCGGTTATTCCTGTTCGGGTGAACCCTCCTACTTTTCTGCCAAGTGAACAAAGTTAAGGCTCCACGTGACCGCAGCCGGCCAATGGTGAGCCTCCTGCGCCAGCCCCGGATAAGGAAATGCGATTAAACAAATCCACGGCTCCCGTCCGCGTATGGTCACATGACCTGAGGTTTTATTTCACCCTCTGTCTGTCGGTCCGCCACATGTCAGCAAACTCCAAGCAGCCAGAGGGACACCCCCCCCCCCCCCCCCCCCCCCGTTGAAAACTTCAGACAGAAATAAAAAGCAGAACAAACAGGAAGAAAGGCTCCGAGGTGTTTCAGGGACACCTGCACCACCCTGAGTGTGCGCGCGCGGGTCTGTGCAGGACCTGTTTGCCAACTCCACTCCCACCTTTCTCTACTTCTATTTTTCTTTCTTTTGTTTTTCAGGGGCAGGCCACCAGCAGCGGTGTCAGAGATTAATCCGGCTTGTTTAGGATCGATAAAAAATTCATCAAGTAATTCAGACTGCCCGGCCTCCTGAATCACCAACAAACCTCCGTAACCTTTAAGTTTCCCCAGCTCCATCTTGACAACCCCCCCCCCCCCCCACCACCACCACCACCGCCGCCGCCGCCACCTCTCCGGCTTTTAAATGGGCCTTAATTAATAATTCAGCACGAGGATAGAGACGCGCTTTGCCTTGCATGACTAATCTACAGATTTATTCTGTTTCTCCTCTAATAGATGTGAAGACGCCCAGATCAGAGGAGGTGCATGCAGCAGTTATCACACCTGAATGATATCTCTATCCGAGGATCGCTAAAGACTAAGAGAACACACGAGGAGCACGTGAAAAAAAAAAAAAGAATTAAAATACATTTTACTTTCTTATAATGTTTACATGAAATATCGAATGAAAAAGAATAGAGTAGAACAGAACACATTTTCCCACTCAAGGTGACGACATCCTTATGAGCCTAAATAAAAGGTCTCCTCACACAAACATTAATTCAAAGGAATGGAAAAATTCTTTTTTTTATATAGTTTGACAGACAAAAACACAGGTTTTTGTTAATTCACACAATAACTGTTCATTAATGATTCATTGTGTCCGCTTGAATAATTTTTCACTGAAAAAAATACATTCAGGATTACAGCATTGCAATCTGTTCAGTCGTGATTATCCTCAGTGTGTGTGTGTGTTTGGGTGGCAGTGTATTTCAATGGAAAAATTAATTAAAACAGCTTATAAAACAATTTATAATGAAGTGAAGTTAAAATTAAATTAAAATGAGTCTCTTCCAGAAAAGACGCAAAAAAAACAAAAACATTTTTACTTATATATATATATATATATATATATATATATATATATATGATTCAAACACTGCATAATTGCAGAATTTATTTATTTATCAATTCTTATTTATTTTTGACAGTGGAGGACAAAATGACTACTCGCAAAGATTAAAAGTTTTTTTTTTTTCTTAAACGAAACCAGGAAGCCCGGACCTCTGGGGCCTGTAGAACCCAGTTGGAGCAGCTGGTTGTGATCCATCGCTGCTGTTGTGTGTAAATCCACTATATACTCCCCTAGAAACGAATTTGTGACGATTTTAGTGATTTTCACACAAATCCGGATCTACAGGGTAGATATAGAAGACATGGACTCTTTGATAAAGCGTCTGTACCGCCTGACCTTTGACCCCGGCAGGGCTGCGGGGACCTGAAAGATGAAGCTGGACCGCTGCTCCTCTTCCTGGAGCTGCAGGGTGTCCTGTCAAAGCTCACGTGCAAACCAAAGAAAGGCCACGTCTGTATCCAAGGACAGAAAATGTCCTGCAGGAAATCTCATGTGTCTTTAAAATATTTATCTTTCTTTAGTTTAGTGCACATTCAGGAAAGAAAAAAAAACACAAAAAGTCATTGATTTAGACTATAACCTGGAGGGAGCCTTACTGTTATGTTTATTTTTAACATCATTCAATTCAATTAAATTCAATTCAATTCAGTTTATTTATATAGCGCCAAATCACAACAAAGTTGTCTCAGGGCACTTTACAGAAATATGATACATAAAATCCAATTAGTGAAGTTCTCTACCTAAGGAAATTTGTCATTATATTTTATATTTATTTATTTAATTATGTCATATATATATATATATGTTTTCTATTTAATTTCTAAAAATATCATAAAAATTAAAAGTTTTGTTTAAACTCAAACTTTTTTTTTTTCCGGGCAGCACAACTTGCATTATTTAATTTGTAATTATTGGAAGAAAAAAAAATCTTGGCAGCTGCAAGCATGGAGCTCTTAAAGTCTGAAGCAGTTTAATGAAAGAAAAGACAAATCACTTGGCACAAAGAGACGCGGGCCCATCAGAACCAGTTCTGACCCAGCCGGCTGAAGAATGGATGGAGCTCAGAGCGAACAAATCAGATGAAATGCAGTCTGGGCTGCAAAACTCTAACTGAATTAAAAAGTGACCTGCACTGCAGAGGACCAGCTGTCCATATGTCTTTATATCTTACAAACAGGCTCTATAAAAAATAAACATAAAAATTGAAATCGAAACAAAATAATACAGTAATATGTATACATGGATATACAATATGCAGAACATAATACAGTAAAAGTTATCTGATCACAATCATTGTTAGGGAACTATTTTGTTAATTATGTTGTATTGCAAGGCTGTAAGAAAAATAACCTAATTGTAAAAAATAAAAATAAAAACTGGTTAAAATTCATATTATATTTATAAAAATTCATAATATAATAATCATAAATTCATACAGGAGTTCCCATCGATCCATATAATTTGCATTTGTATTCATAGGAAATATGCATTTTTAAAATAAATCTACATAACTTAAAAGAAATTATTCGATTGAATAAAGGTCAATGTGAGCTTATCAAATGAAATGATTTTAAACAATTAAACAAATGTGTGTGATCTTTTTAGCTGTATAGAACTATTTGATTTGATGATAGCTGGTGCACTTTATGATCATTTGAATAATAATTGCATAGGTTTGGTGACGTCACAGAACTTCCTGCTGCTCGCTCCTCTAAAAACTTCTTCACAACAAAACAGGAGCAACAAGAGCTTCTTAAAGGACAAACAGACATGTCCTCTGTTATACATCTTCCCATGGCTTGCGTAACATTTCTCCATTCTATTCCATTCCACTCTATTCTATTCTATTCTATGCGATCATATTTCACCTTGACCTTTCCTCAGGTATCACTCAAGATGTGTTGAGTCTGACTGCACTTCCCTCCTTCCTCTGTCAAGTTTGTCAGCAGCAGCTTTTCAGTCCATTTACCCCCCCCCCCCCCCACACACACACACACACACACCCCCACCCACAGGTATGTTTGTAAGATGAAGCAGAAACCTCAGAAAAAGCTGCGTCATGAAGCACATTTTTAACAAAGTTAGATAAAAAGAGAGAGAAAGAATCAAGTTATTATTACGAGATAAATGTTTTCTAGTTTGACAGCCCCCCCCCCCCCCCCTCAACCCCTACACACCACGTTTGTAGCAAAATGAATGCAGTTGACTTTGAGTCAATTTTACATCTTAAATGACCTAAAGACGCAGAAAACACGTGTGCACAGATCAAACAGTGTTTCCACAACAAAACTGCACCGACTCCAGTAAATGCTCATTCAAAAAAAAAAAAAAAAAAATATGTCAAAGAATATAATTTAATAATAAGACGTCTGAGTTTTAAATACAGACTGAATTTCATACAACAAACAAACAAACGTACAGATAATAATAATAACGATGATAATAAAATGATAATAATAATGATGATAATAATAATACTAATAATAATAACTCCCAGTGTATAAAAGAAGAGATGAGATGAGCAGAAAAAAATACCCAAGTAAATCACACACACACACACGCGCGCGCGCACGCACACACACACACACACACACACACACACATATATATATATACATATATATATATATATATATATATATAAGTACATCTTCGGCTGAGTAAATATAAAAGAGACAAAATTTTGTAAAGTTGATGATTTATTTTTTCATCAGAACCCTATTTTTATTATAAGAAATGTAAAATTGCCTAATGTAGCAGTAATGTTTTGCTAACAATAAATCAGCCCTGTATGTGACCTCTGTATACCAGATTTGTGTGTAAAAGAAATAAAGTCTCCATTTTAAAATACAATCAGGCCGGTGAAGGATGTACGTCCTCTTTTATTTGCAGCCACCCGTCCTGTCAATAATCTGAAATATGGCTAAAATGAAAAAGCTTCGGGGACAAAGGTGAGGAAGAAAAACGCGTTTCTCCTCTTTTGTGCGCCGTGAAAAATATATCGCGTGGGTTTTGTCATGCAAACCAACGGAGTGGACAGAAACACAAAGCTGCAGCATTCAGCCAAACTACATGGAATATTTTAGTGACGAGTCTGAAGGCAGATTATTTAACTAGTATACAGATGTGCATTTAAATATATATTTGTGTGTGTGTGTGTGTGTGTGTGTTGTCTGATGAGCACACTGAGCATGCGCAGCGATAAACGGCGGAATAACAAAGCAACAGCAGGAATAATCTGTCCCAGTGGAAGTTCAGTCATTTCACATCCAACATTGAATCTCAGAATCAAGAGAAAACAATATAACCACGTATAACAACACTCCCGATGCACCACTCAACACACACGCACACACCTGCATCGTGAGTGCACAAATTTTATTCTTTTGTGTTGAGTTAACCCAGAGGGGAACCATTAAAACACGTTTTAGTCCAGTTGAAAAGATTTATTAAATCCGGCAGAGAAAGAACGTTGTCCAACATGTCCTAAATAACCCTAAACTAACCACGACCTGGCGTCCATCTAAACCATTTGACCAATGAATAGCTGTTCTTGGATCAAAGCAGCTGGAGGTAACGCACGCG